CATGGAAAAAACTGTATGACTGGTACAACATAAATGCATAGTTTAAAGTAATGGAAATTTTGGTATTATTAATCTCGTTTAGTTAATTAGAAACTATGGTAAAAAGATAAGAGTGTACAGAAACTTAAGCAAACCCATAGAAAGTGATTTAAGAAAATTGTTAAATATGGTAATAGAGTTATACTGATCTCTTTGTATGTGTTATGTATGTAAGTGGATGTTTGTTATATGTTGTATGTATGTTGGTTTGTGTATAATATGAAAAGTAATAAAAGGGTACCTAAAGGGTACTTTTAAAAAAAGAGAGAATCCATGATTGCCCATATGCAATATTGCCCAAAGGTTATTCCGGCTCCCCCAGCTCTCATTAGGGGCTCTTTAAAAAGTTATGGCTGCTGATGTTGACAGCGGCGGCAGCAGCGGCAACGGCCACGGGGGGAGGGGCGTGAAACGTTCCCCCACCTCTCTGGGCCCCGGGGTGGTGGCCTCGGAGTCCTAGGGGCAAATTTCACCTCTCGTGTGTGACATCACATGCGAGAGGTCATTTCGGCTCCCCCAGCTCTCGTTAGGAGCTCTTTAAAAAGTTATGGCTGCCGACGCTGCGGCAACAGCCGCTGGGGGGCGCAAAACGTTTCCCCGCCTCTCTGGGCCTCGGGGGGGTGGCCACGGAGTCCTAGGGGCAAATGCCACCTCTCCCCCAGCTCTCGTTTGGGGCTCGGACATCACACGCGAGAGATCATTTCGGCTCTCCCAGCTCTCGTTAGGGGCTCGGACATCACATGCGAGAGGTCATTTCGGCTCCCCCAGCTCTCGTTAGGGGCTCGGACATCACATGCGAGAGGTCATTTCGGCTCCCCCAGCTCTCGTTAGGGGCTCGGACATCACATGCGAGAGGTCATTTCGGCTCCCCCAGCTCTCGTTAGGAGCTCTTTAAAAAGTTATGGCTGCCGACGCTGAAAGTGGCGGCAGCAACGGCAGTGGCAATGGCCATGGGGGAAGGGGCGCGAAATGTTCCCCCACCTTTCTGGTCCCTGGGGGGGTGGCCTTGGAGTCCTAGGGGCAAATTCCACCTCTTGCGTTGCCGCTCGGACATCACACGCGAGAGGTCATTTCAGCTCCCCCAGCTCTCATTAGGGGCTCTTTAAAAAGTTATGGCTGCTGATGGCGGCGGCAGCAGCGGCAACGGCCGGCGAGGGGGAGAAGCGGGAAACGTTCCCCCGCCTCTCTGGGCCCCAGGGTGGGGACCTTGGAGTCCTAGGGGCAAATTCCACCTCTTGCATGTGATGTGATGTCACACGCGAAACATCATTTCGGCTCACCCAGCTCTCGTTAGGGGCTCTTTTAAAAGTCATGGCTGCTGATGCTGGCGGCGGCAGCGGCAATGGCCGCGGGGGGGAACATTCCCCCGCCTCCCTGGGCCCCGGGGTGGTGGTCTTGGACTCCTAGGGGCAAATGCCACCTCTTGCATGTGATGTGATGTCACACGCGAGAGGTCATTTCAGCTCACCCAGCTATCCTTAGGGGCTTTTTTAAAAGTTATGGCTGCCAGTTTAAATGTTTAAAAATCCAATTTTTTTTTAATGATTTTTATCCATCCTGACTGGATATTCCAACCTTTTAACCCTTCCTGCCCTAGTTGGCTGGGAGATCCTTACCCCGTCCAGAGTGAGGAAGCCCAATGGTGAACCCCCATCTCCCAGCCATTAAAGAGCGCATGTCCTACACATCTCAATGCCCAGCTTATGTTTTAACAATAGCTTTCCATCTTGCCCTTCCTGGAAGGTAGAGCAAATGGTTATCTTCTCACAGAAATGCATCTTCGCCCTAGCTGACACTTTTGTACATTTGATGGCTCACTTGCCTGGGAAAGCAAGCTGCTGAGCTTCAAAGCACTTTACATCTCTGTTATAGTGACAGGTGTTTACAGACATTATACTTATTTGGATTTTGATTTTGCTAATGACATGTATATTCCATTTATTGTTAATATATTAGTTTTATATAACTAATGTTGTTGTCGCATCTCACCTGGTGAAGAGAAGTTCAGGTTCAAATCACATTGAGATAAGTAATCTTCCATGCAGCATTTTTTTTTTTAACTTTCATGGTTTAACTTCCATGGTTTTTTAACTTTCATGGTTTGCCACTTACAGAGGCATTATAATTCAGACTGTAGCATAAACTCTTTTTTATAACATGCAATGATTGCTCATTTTGCAAATACAATGAGAGCCAGTTTGGTGTAGTGGTTAAGAGCAGTAGACTCTAATGTGGAGAACTGGGTTCAATTCCCCACTCCTCCACATGAAGCCAGCGGGGTGACTTTGGGCCAGTCACAGGTCTTTCAGAGCTCTCTCAGCCCCTAAAAACAAATCTAGTTTTCCGCTAGAACAACGCTAATAGCTAGAACTTGTGGCTGCCAGACGATCCTAGGATCTCCTGGCTATTCTACACACAATGCCAGATGATGATGATGATGATGATGATGATGATGATGATGATGATGATGATGATGATGATGATGATGATGATGATGATGATGAAGAAGAAGAATTGCAAATACAATTAGCCCTCTTATTGCTTCTTAATGTTTTTTCAGACATTTTTTCCCATAGCTTATAAATACAAGAGATTACTCTTGTCATATGTTTGAACTGGTTTATATCAAGCACGACTCATAAGTTTCTCCTCCCCTTCACCTATCTTTTGGATGCTTTGCATTGCCAAATTGGGTTGGACTAATTTGGGGATTATAGGGTGATGTTGTATTAGATAGACCATTTAAAAAGAGATTATGTTAGCTCCTGCATGTTGGCATAATTCTTATCCAAGACATATGGCACGCAGTTGATGGGGCTATTAGACAGCGTGGGTGAGAAGCAAGTAATTACCTTCACGTCTATAACCTGAATCTATAACCAGCACAGCCATTCCGGATTCCAGGCTATATGGTAACATTACAGGGGAGGGCAGTGGCTGTGCCAAGCACAAACCATCCACATTGCCACTCTCCATAAAAGTGTTGAGAAATCTGTACCACACATGATGAGACGCAATCGCTGTTTGCACAATTTGGGCTATGATTAGTCCAGATGCGCTCCTTGCTGTCTGGTGCTGCTCTTTTGTCAGGAAGAAGGAGACTGTAAGCAGGAGAGTGTACAAAGATAAGTAGATGGCCCCCAAGCACAAACACTCTGGTTAGCACAAGATGATGCAGAACAAAAAGACACACAGGTGCACACAAACTGAAGCACTCAGTACCACAGCGGTTGCCTGAGGATTTGTTAGAGCTACAAATATAAGAAGCACAAGAGTGCAATCTGGGATTTTGTGGGGAGGGGGTTATTATTTATTTATTTTTGTGATTGTGATCCTGCCCTGCCCCGCAAGTGGGCACAGGGCGGCTTATAACAAGTCATAAAACCATGAACAATTCCATACAAGACTAATACATTAAAATGTTAGTTAAGCAGAATGAAAAATTTTAAATAAGACATTCAGGATGTATCTAAACCTAATGGCAGCTCAGTGGTTAGTTCAGGCCAGCAGGGACAGTGGATCACTCTAATGGAGTCGAAGTACTGCACCTGGTGCTCATGATGCGAGTGGCGCCATGGGGTGGTTGAAGCAGGGGAGGCTGATGTTATTTGATGTCCGCTGCTTCAGCCAAAAGCCTGGCAGAACAGCTCTGTCTTCCAGGCCCTGCAGAACTTTAACAAATCATGCAGGGCCCCCCTGATCTCAATCGGGAGCATGTTTCACCAGGCCGGGGCCAGGGCCGAAAAGGCTCTGGCCCTGGTCAAAGCAAGGCAGATGTCTTTCAGGCCGGGGATTTCTAAACAGTGCTGGTCTGAAGAGCACAGGGCTCTTTGGGGCATGTATGGGAAGAGACGGTCCCACAGGTAAGCTGGTCCCTGGCTGCATGGGGCCTTAAAGGTCAATACCATCATCTTAAACTTGACTCGGTACTCAACTGGCAACCAATTTATCTGGTGCAGTAGTGGCTGAATGTGCACCCGCACAGACATCCCAGTAAGCAGGAACGCCATCAACATGTATTTATAGTTAGGATTTTTTGCTCCAATGTACATAACTTTGCACTTGGCCACAATGAACCCCATTTGCCACGTTGATGCCCACTCACCCATCTTCAACAGATCCCTTTGGAGTGCCTCACAATTCTCCCTGCTTTTCACCACCCTGAACAACTTCATGTCATCTGCAAATTTAGCCAATTCACTGCTCACTCCTAACTCCA